ATAACCCAACTAAATTTGATGTCAAACAAGGAGAGAGACTCTCTATCCTTGTCTAAAGTGGCCTCTCAAGATGGCACTTCTTGTCTATCAATATGTTTACCCCTTCTACCTTTACATTCCCTCTTTTGTCTTATTGCTCGATGGTGTATACTAAACCCATCAAATTTTCCCTGTATATTTAAAATATAATATTTAAATTGTTACAATTTAACATATTGTAGTAAATATTTGTATTATTCGCGTTGTTTATTTTAGCTAATATTGATATGATATAGTTTAGTTAGTTCTATTTTGAATTTTATTATTAGGGATAGTCAAATTTTTCCATTTGTTCTATCAGATAATGCGTTGGTAAGATTTTCCTTAATAAATATGATAAATGTTCTTTAAAATTTATTATTTTTAGATGAGTAAGGATGCTGTTAAATTACAAGGTAATAACCCCCTCTGTGGCTCAGCGGTAAGAGCGCCTACCTTTAAACCTAAAGGTCGTGAGTGCGAATCTCATCTGGGTGAAGAAATTTTCGTTTATTAAAAATTAATAAATGAAAATAATTTCTATCCTTGTGCGATCACAATGATCTTAGTTGTCGAGGCATTAACTCAATAATATAATAAATTACAAGGTAATCAAACTGCACAAAGATTTATTCAAAACACCAACCATTATTTTTTATTATTTGCTCTGTCGGTGTAGGTTGACCATTAAATATATTTATGAAATTATGTAAATATGTTCTTAATAACAAAAACATTTCTGTTAACATCCAGTTCAGTTTGACATGGCATCAAAAATTATCTATAATTTAATAAAAATATATTTTATAAAACAGTTATGGTAATTTAGTTTATATCGTTAAGTTGCCCCAAATGTAGGCAACCAACTTAAACTTTTGGTTAGCATTTAGCTGGAGTTTCTTGAGAATCTTTTTAATAAACGTTTAATATTTTCCAGTTAATTTATTCTTTTTTAAAAGTCATATTTCAACTAGGCTTGTGTAGTTCATGAGCGAACTAGTTCAAAGATCCGGCTCCAAACCCTGAACTAAATGAACTAGTTCGTCAGAGCTGGCTTAAACCGTTCAGTCGCTCCGCTGAGCCGTTTATTTCTCGGAGTCGAAACTTCGCGTTTCGTTTGTTCATCGGTTAGGAGCGGTTCAGTTCTAATCTTCCGAGTTCAGACGCGACGAACGAAATAAGTGAGCTGAGGAGCTGAGCGGGTAGCGGGTAGGCAGGAAGAACATGAAAACCATCTAGGAACTAATATGTGGACATGTGGAAGATTAGTAGAAGTGGGTGAGCGCTGAAAGTGCTGAGAAATCATTTAGTTGAGATTATAATTTCAAGTTTGTTGTGCGTTTTATTTTCATTATATAGATAATTTAGTTTACTTTACCGTGAGGGTGAGCTGATAACTGGTGATATATTTATGTAAGTAAAAATTGTTTTAGTGTATAATAATTGTGTAGAATAATATTATGTATAATAACAATAATAATAATATGTACAATAGAATAATTATTGTATGTTTATTAATTATTAATTATTGTATGTAATAATAATTGTATGTTTATATAGTACCTATACTTGTGTATAATAGTACTTGTGTATAATAATACTTGTGTACAATTATTGTAAGAAGTTCATTAAGCCTTTTTTATTTCAGATTCAAAAAAATACTATGAGTTCGAAAAGAAAACACAGTGCTCTTTGGGACTATTTTACGGAACATGGAGACAAAAGAGCCAAATGCAATTACTGCTCCCAGTCAATTAGCATTGCTAATGGTTCAAATGGAAACTTAAGTCGCCATATGAAAAGTAAGCACCCCATAGTCTTAACATCAGTGGAACTGTCTAAGTCTGAACTTATACCTGAAATCCATGTAATGAATAGTGAAGATGTTTCTGGTCACACGTCACCTTCCTCAAGTACCAAAGCAAGATCTCAAACCAGAATAACAAATTTTTTTCGAAAGCCGCCATCAATACATAAAATAGAACAAATCGATAAACAAGTTATCAAAATGATCGCTAAAGGGCATCATGCATTAAGAATGGTCGAAGAAACAGAATTTAAAGAATTAATTAAAATGGTATCTCATTATCCAAATTATCAATTACCATCTAGGAAAAAATTGTCTGAAAATTTGCTAATAAAAACACATCAGCAAATAGCAGAAGAATTACAAATAAAGTTAAATAACGCACAAGCCGTGTGCCTTACTACTGATTCATGGACATCCCGCTCTAATGAATGTTACATTGCTGTAACAGCTCATTATATTGACGAACAATCAAAGCTTTGTTCTTCTACGTTAGGCTGCATCCAATATAATGAAAGACATACTGCTGAAAACATGTTAGATTTCCTGAAAAACATATTGCAAGAATGGCAAATTTCTCACAAAATAGCTGCTGTTGTAAGTGATAATGCGTCAAATATTTTATTAACTGTTAAAATGGGCAATTGGACATCGGTTGGGTGCTTTCCACATTCATTAAATTTGGTTGTTCAGAAAGCAAAACGGACAATATCAGATACTCTTGCAAAGGTGAAATCTATTGTAGAATATTTTAAAAGAAGCACTCAGGGACTACGTAAATTACAAGACGCCCAAAGACAAATGAACTTACCACTTCTAAAATTGGAACAAGAGGTTTCAACTCGTTGGAATTCTTCATTTGAAATGTTAGAGCGCATATTTAAAATAAAAGATGCTATTATTACAACTACAGCCCTTTTGCGGAACGACCTTTCCTTGCAGCAAGACGACTGGGACATTATAGAACAAGTACTACCACTCCTGCAACCATTTTATGAAGTAACAACAGAACTTTGTTCCGAAAAAAATGTAACATTATCAAAAGTTATTGGGATGACTATGATGAGGAAACTATAAAAATCATTAGACCAGAAAATAAACAAATGGCTGGCAGTATAGAGCTGGACAAATATTTAGGTGAGGACTATCTAGATAGAAAAAGCAATCCACTAGAATTGTGGGATTACAGAAAAAAGGTTTATCCAAATTTACACTCGTTAATTTTAAATCGATTTTGTGGCTTTTTTGACGGATTTTTTCTGGCACAGGTCAAATAATAAATAAACGTAGAACTCTTTTAAAATCGAGTAAAGTTTCTAAATTAATATTTTTACATACAAATATGTAAAGTAAGTCATTTAAATCTATTTTATAATGTATTAATTTTAGTTACTTTCTTAGAAATTGTGTTAGAGTACTGGTTTTATTTTTTAAATAAATACTAATTAATTTGTCCTTTATTTTCTTGTTATTGATTTTGACCACATTCTTAAAACAAAACAATAATAAATTTTGTAATAAAATATTTATAATTCTAATATAAATTAAAATTGGCGTTATCAAAAATAAACTTATGTACAAAAGATAAAATAATCTTACATTTTGCTCATGTGTAAATAAATCTCTCATGCTTAGTAACTCTTTGAGTTAATGAACTAGTGAACTAAAAGAGCGACCTAGTTCACTTCTCACATTTGAACTAAACTGAGCGCTCTTTATGATGAACTATTATGCCCAAGCCTAATTTCAACTGATATTTAATCACAAAACGTACTTAATATTGTATTATATAATCCCCATAATAAAGTACGTTAGATAAAAAGGTAAAATCCCGGGTCGTCCAAAACTAGCTTCTGATAGGAATAATAGTTTATATATAGAATAATAATAGGAATAATGTTTGATGATATTGGATTATATTTTTGATGAATGATATTTTTAATAATAATATGAATATTATGAATTAACTGAAAAATATTAAACGTTTATTAAATATATTCTCAAGAAACTCTAGCTAAATGCTAACAACAAGTTTAAGTTGGTTGCCTACATTTGGCGCCACTTAACGATATATAAACTAAATTACCGTAACTTTTTTCTAAAATATATTTTTATATATAATAGAAACTTACTTTCTTTATACATGCTATAAATTTCTAAGTCATAGTATAAGTTTGCAAAAGAGGTCCACGAAATACTCTAATGAAATGCGCTATGAGTACGTGTGCTTGGTTGTATAGTAATTTCCAGCCACTTCTAGTCTGTCAAAAAGTAACTAACTTCGTAAAAACATGATTACTAAAATCATGATACTATGAATAACAAGATAGGATCTTCCCGTAGCTCAAAATCGGTCGGATTCGCGCATGCCGTCATTGGAGACTAGAATTTGAATTCTTGTTAAAGTTAAATGAGATTTGTATGCATTCTGTGATGAAATTACTAGACGAAAATAAGTTAAGAGGTTTAATAATTGCAATAATGGTACACATAAGGATATCTCCAAACTATTTATTAAAGATTATTTATTGATATATACAAAAACTGACATTTCGAACGTGCACGTCTCCAATGACGTCACAAAAACATGCGCAATATCTTATCTTATAGTCATAGTATCATGACTAAAATCACTAGACAGTTCGGACTGGGATTAGCGAACCGAGTATAAGTAATTAAATGTTATACAGACAATAATTGAATTAAGTTTATAAAAACGCGTAGCAATATCAATGTTATATACACTCACGCACGCAGTATATTTCTCATATGAGCTTGAGTTGTCTTTTAACAGATTCACGGTGTTTATCTGTAGCGGATTCATCGAGACCGATAGCGGAGAAAAAACGTGTATTTTCTACGCGAACCAAATTAAGAGCGCCAAAAAATACGTATGTTCTCTACGGGAACCAATTGGTAGAGAGAGAGAGAGAGAGAGAGAGAGAGCGATTTTTTTTGTGTCCATAAATGTCTTGACTTCTCGCAGGTGGGAATACAAATAGGTAGGAGGAACTATTACTAAGGATTGGTTTAAGTAATGATTTGATATTGATGTTGGTAACTATAGGAATGATACAGCGAAAATATAAAATTGTTTTTCGCATGTAAAAAATGAAACACCTATAATAACAGATATAACGCACTTTATCAAGTCGATCAACCAGTACAGTAATCACTATACTGGATTACTAACCTTAAAACATGAAATAATGTCTATTAATGATGAATTCATTAATTAAATTATAAAATTATAAAAAAAATACAAAAGATGCTTACCATCTGGTTGGCGCTGTCTGTGGAAAACGTATACATTAAAAGGTCTACTAATATTAACAACGACGCTCTTTTCTTCGTGCTTAAACTTATGCAGCTCCAATATACTGTTATTATACCACGAAGACACAAAGATACTATTTTGGAACACAGTAATTCCATATAAATTTTGTACTTTGGTACCTCTTAGTACCGTTTTTCGGTTTCGTCCATCATAGTCGACCCTTTCCACATAATCTAAAAACAAAAATGATGTAAACGCACGACGTTTTTCATTTCAACCACCATCGTTCTAGCTTGACCTGTTATACAAATCGAACTTACCTAAGTATGTATCCACCCAATAGACTCTTTTGGTCGGAAAATCTACCGTAACACCGTACGGATAAACAATTGTATGATCTACAATAGATCTTCTATCGGTACCGTCCATGTTTACACGTTCTAGCATAGGAGAAGAATGTCCCCATTTCGTGAAAAACAGGTAGCCGCTTGTTGGATCCAACGTAATTGCTCTTGGTTTGCTCAGGTCGTACTCAACAAGAATATTACACCACCTAAAGCAAAAAGTGCCACTGAAGCATTTATATAGTTCTGAATATATATATATATATATATATATATATATATATATATATATATATATATATATATATATAAACAACACAAGTTTATTAGGGTTGCAGTCAGAATATTGGCCGGGATGTTAAAAAAAACACTCTTTTGACTTTTTGTCTAGCTTTTGGAATGGTTTTATTCCTTTTTCAAGACACTGTAATAAGACAAATATGTAAATATTTAAAAAATATCACAATTCTTCAGTGTAACTTACTAGTCGTTGAGATTATTTATAAAAGCATTGACAGTCAACATTTATAACACACATTAAAATATAAAATTATGGACAAAATACATTCTAAAATTTTAAAATTTATGGTAAAGATAGTAAAACTGTTATGGCATGTTTTACTGGTGTGTTTTAACTCATATGTATAGAGAATGGAAAGTAAAAACACTGTAATTAACATGTAATTAGGTGTAATTGATGTTATCTTTCTTTTCAAGAAATATTAGAGGCCCATCTTAGGTGACTATACTTTTTAAACCTGTCTTAATGGTATGCAACATATTATACATACAGGTGTAATTTATGTACAGGTAAATATTTATTTTATTTTTGGTGTTTTTCTAGTAAATAACAATAAATGTTGCTTAGTTTATCTATGTCGGACTTTTTATTGATGCAAGATGTGCTAGATTTTATGAAACACATTTCCAAAAAAACACGTTTTGAATGGTTCTTTTCTTTTGCCAAAATACAGGAATCATCGAAATTGAATTCATGTTTCAGAGTTAGTGCATGTTCTGTCAATGCACATGCATTGATTTTTTTGGTTTTTATATCACTACGATGTGATATCACCCTGCTGTGAAAATTACGAGATGATTCTCCTATGTAAATTTTATTACAATTAGTACACGGTATAGAATAAACAACATTCGATGACTCCTGTATTGTGACAGGATCTTTTGTTTTTGTGTAAAGCTTCGATACCGTTTTCACATTTTTGGTTGTAATTTTTAAGCCACTAACATTTTTGAAGATGTTCATTAGCTTAGGTGTCAGAACTGGAATGTAGGGTAGGCAACCATAAGTTATTTTAGATGGTAATATTGATGCGTTATGTGTCAATGTCAATTGTCGGATCTCATTGTTATGAAAATTTTGGTTGACAGAAACTTGTGAAGGAAAAAGAGAACCGAAAATGAGTTTATTTAACAGCCCTATGGGATAAGAATTCTCTTGTAGTATAGATCTCAACTTTTTTAGTCCCTTGTCCCTGAATTCGATGTATGACAAGTTGATAACCCTAGTTTTTAGAGCCAAAACCAAATTTGTTTTCATCTTAGATGGATGTTGAGAATAAAAGTTTATGAAACGGTTACTAAAACAAGGTTTACGATACCACTCCGTCTTTAGCATGCCATTATTGCCACGATGGATTAGCATGTCCAAAAAAGGAATCATATTATCAGCCTCTCTCTCAACCATAAACTTTAGGTGTTCACATTGGGCGTTAAAAGTGTTTAAAACATCAGTTACCTTGTTTTCAGGGACCGATAAAATCAAATCATCTACATAACGTTTAATAAAAGGTATGTGAAAAGGTATCTTTTCTTTACACGTTGTTATAAGTTCATCCAAAACAAAGTTACATAGTATGGGGGATATTTTGCTGCCCATTGGAGTGCCAAAAATTTGTTTAAAAAAATTACCATTGAACAAAAAGATGTTAGAGTCAAATATAAATGTTAACATTCTTATGAAATCATCTAAACTGATCTTAGTATGCGGAGAGATGTTGTTCCAGTTATTTTTAATGCTGTTAAGAATAGCATCTAGTGGTAAGTTTGTAAACCGTGACACAACATCTAAACTAATCAATATATAATTATTTGGAACTTTAACATTGTTAATGAAGTTACTAAATGTGAAAGAATCTCTAATATAGAATTCATTGGATTCGTTGTAGGAAATTGTGAGAATATCTGTAAGGTGTTTAGCAAGTTTACTATTAGGAGCATCAATGGAAGATTCAATAGGCCTCATTGAAATAGTGGGTTTATGAACTTTAGGCAGTGTATAAAACCTGGGTGCAACTGCAAACAAATATATAAACTTACATTAAGTTATGTGTACACACAAGTATGATCTCCCGTTGGTCGTCCATAAAGTACCAGTTTTCTGTGATCCAATCCAGTGCCAATTGTTGTACCAAATCTACTTCCAGGAGTGGAGAGGCAACGTTCAAAGACCATCTTTGATTTAAATCGTTTACATTAGCGCACATAAACGAAGCCTAAAACACGAATACAACTTTTATAGAACTGGAAGTATATCTCCTGATACAGGTATCATTTTTAATACCAATATGTACCGCTAACAATAACATTAGTAGAAGGTAAGACACTTAAGCGCACTTTAACCTGACCCCTGGCATCACAGCAGTGGTAGTCATAATTCGAACAGACTGTGATAATCTTTTCAACAGATTTCGAACAGCTCTGTACATGTACAAGAGGTTCAATTTGGACCTATTTAAGACCCGTTCAAAAGCTTATCACAGGCTGTTCGATTGGTACTATCATTACCGTGACGTCAGGAATCAAAGGTCAAAGTGCGCTCAAGAAAGTAATTAACTGTCTTATTATATGTTTAACTTGAATACTCCTAGTACCCAAGAGTGTTAGTTTTTCAACTTACCTTTGTTACATTATGGTGCACGTAACATACAGTGTGGTTCCTGTGGATGAATTCCAGGGCATTACTATTCAGTAAACGCAAAGTTGAATTTCCAGGAAAAGGCTTGCCCTCCAGCGTCACTCTTCTAATTTCAGTTTGGGTGGAGAATATTAGAGATGGTGGTTCCGAAGGAGGAACTAAAAATAAGTGTACATGGTAAGCGTAATTACTCATTTAGAAGCATTGTCTATTACAGAAGCTATTACGGTAAAGTTTTGTTCTAAAAAGTTGTAATATCGGTGAATTGCATCGGTATTAAAACAGATAAAGGAGTCGGAATTGGAGTATACGGAGGAAAACAAGACTAAGCCGTAGTGAATACCTAGGTAATCACTCAACTCAATTATCTTCCAGAAATTTATGCTATAGAGACGTACCTGCAGAAACTAATACAGGGAAATTGCAGGAACAAATCTGTAAAAATCATATCGGATAGCCATGCGGCATTATAGGCACTGAAATCAAATCGGATTAACTCCAAGTTAATTTGTAACTGTCTTCAGAATCTAATCGGACAAAAACTGCAAAGTAAGTTTATTCTTGCTTCCTGGACATACTATTGAAGGGAACGAAAAAGCTAACTTACTTGTCAGGAAAGGGACAAGAGAAACATTCATAGGCCTAGAACCTTTCGTTGGCATAGTAAGAAGCACATCCAAAAGAACGATATCGAACTGGATGGAACGGATGAAATGTAACCCCACTGGTACGAACAAACTTTTTTTATTGTTGCACATGTTCACAATCTACTAGTATTGTAGAGTATTATGGCGGTAGGTCTTCTGGTCATACTCTCTTCAATCTTCTTTCGACAAGTGGTTGGATGAATAAATTATTTATCAGTTCTTTGTTGTAATCAGTGGTTAGATTTTTATATTTTATTGAGTGATTCTTTATTATTTCCTTAAGTAGTGGGATGTCTAGATCATTGTGAAATGTATGAATTGGATACATACCATGGAGCTTTACTTATCATACGCATTTTCGGAGTATTTTAGATTGGAATGTTTACAAGTATCTTCGTATTTGAAGGTTTACTGCAGCCCCATAGTTCTATTCCATATGCCCAAACTGGTATGAGTATAGCTTTATACAGAAATGCTTACAGCTCAAAGAGAAACACTCCAGCGCAAAACTTTTTCTCTTCTAGACTTCACGTCTAAATCCGAATTGGTGTTGTGGTATAATTTCGTTTATGGGAACAACTTGCTCGATTTTATATAATAGTAGCCTTTCTATATGAATTTGCTTCTGTTGCGGGCAAACCAGGTTTCGGAATCATAGAAACTTGAGCAAATTTCCATTGTATTGGAAAGTAGCGAAGACGTAGTATGCTATTGTATATTATTGTTAATGACACCACTGTTTTTCTCGGTAGCTTCTGAATTACTTCTATTATTAAATCATACCCAAGAGCTTTCTTAGAAATTAGCATTTTTATTTCTTGTCGAACCTCTGTCGGAGTAAATGTTGTGAGAGGAAGAGATAGTTGACATAGAGTTTCGAGGAACATTCTTATATCATCATCTTCACCGTTATTATAATCTGGTGCTGAGAATACAGTTAAAAGATGCTCTGCAAATACTGTTGCTTTTTCTGCGTTTGTGTGGGACCAGGTCATATCTGTTTTTCTTAAAGGTGAATTTGTTATTATTTGTCGTTTAAATTTTTTTGTAGCTTTCCATATAGAGTGGTCTTCATGTGACAGGTTTGGTTTTAATTTCAGTTCGGTTTCAATTAGTGTTGTCTCTACTTTACAAATCACAAATTTAAGATAACGAAATTGCTATTCCCTGCGAATCAACTAATCAAACTCAATTTTAAACAATCAGTCCGTATTAAAGACACTGTCGATTAGATACACTAACAAATGAATTAATTTGTTTAAACGATTAATTATTGTTTCAGACCAACATATAAATTGACTATTAAATTGGTTATTAATTAATTAATTAATTGAAAAGAAAAGTACTTTAAAATTTTGTAAACATTTAATTCCTAGGTGAACGTTTTCGACTTAAAAGCCATCTTCAGAGCTATGGCCAAGTTTAAAAATATACCACTACAAAAGAGGGATCATACAGTTAAAAACGAATTAGCACAATTTTTTTTTCATCAAAATTTAAAAAAGTTTTCAAAAATCGTTAAAAAGATAGCACAAAACATTAAAAGTTTGGTTATGGTGTGGGTGTAAGCACTCATCAATTTGTACTGACAAAATTTTACCGATGACTCTCCTGAATTGAATCAATATTTTTTACATAAACTTTGAATATTCAAAATTAAAATGCAAAAATAAATAAATAATGCTAATTTCAGCATTTAATTTACCTGGTACCGTTAGACCTGAAGATGCTTAGCAAATTGCAGTAAGCGAAATCGATCGTTTTGATGGTAAAATTAAATTGATTGCGAGTAAGTCTTATTTTATTTCTTTTTACCTATTTTTTATTTTTATATTCATATAAAATTAACATACTTGTTGTTTTCTTTTTGTTATTTTTAAAAAAGAAGACTCACTCTTTCATTTGGAAACCGAAAAATTGTTCTAACTGCATTTTTTTTACTTATGTTATTGCAAAAAGCAGCTTTATGGGATAAATAAATAGAATAAAATTTAGACAATTCAACGAATTGCTTTGAATTTTTTATTATATAATAAGCACTACAAGATCCAACTAAGAAAAATTTTAAAACAATTTTTGCAAAAAAAAATATTTTTTTCGAAATTTTGTTCTTTTTGTGCATTTATCTAAATAACATATAACGTACATATTCGTTTTCATCGTTCTTGGCGTGTGCCTGAAATAAGCTGCTACGGAATTTTTAATATTCGTCTCTCTCTGATACACACATGCGTAATTCAATTGTGCGAGTCACGTTCGTCATGGTAAAGTGCGATGAGAAGGGAATGAAGAGACCACTCACGTCTCCCAGTATTGTAGCAATAACACCGATGTGTGATAAGTTCGGCCTCTTTACGAATACAGATAGCTGGCAGTGACGTGTTTTTTTTAACATGTTACCCTGATCTGTGCAGGTTTGAAGTAGCTGATGAAATAGTTTTTATAAGTAAACAGTTTTTAATTAATTAATAGTTTGAGCTCTTACTGTGTGGAACTCCATTACTTAAAATAATTCGACGCCTTAAAAATTCCAGTTTATTATAAATTAACTCTCTCTCTCTCTCTCTCTCTCTCTCTCTCTCTCTCTCTCTCTCTCTCTCTCTCTCTCTCTCTCTCTCTCTCTCTCTCTCTCTCTCTCTCTCTCTCTCTCTCTCTCTCTCTCTCTCTTCTCTCTCTCTCTCTCTCTCTCTCTCTCTCTCTCTCTCTCTCTCTCTCTCTCTCTCTCTCCTCTCTCTCTCTCTCTCTCTCTCTCTCTCTCTCTCTCTCTCTCTCTCTCTCTCTCTCTCTCTCTCTCTCTCTCTCTCTCTCTCTCTCTCTCTCTCTCTCTTCTCTCTCTCTCTCTCTCTCTCTCTCTTCTCTCTCTCTCTCTCTCTCTCTCTCTCTCTCCTCTCTCTCTCTCTCTCTTCTCTCTCTCTCTCTCTCTCTCTCTCTCTCTCTCTACTCTCTCTCTCTCTCTCTCTCTCTCTCTCTCTCTCTCTCTCTCTCTCTCTCTCTCTCTCTCTCTCTCTCTCTCTCTCTCTCTCTCTTCTCTCTCTCTCTCTCTCTCTCTCTCTCTCTCTCTCTCTCTCTCTCTCTCTCTCTCTCTCTCTCTCTCTCTCTCTCTCTCTCTCTCTCTCTCTCTCTCTCTCTCTCTCTCTCTCTCTCTCTCTCTCTCTCTCTCTCTCTCTCTCTCTCTCTCATAGCAATAATGACTTGTGGCATTGTTCTTGAATGAGCTGGCTAATAGCAATTACCATTGATATTTTATGTTGTTTTAGGCGATATTAGTCAGTCATTATTGGAATTTGTTCCGAACAGTTTTACTTATTATTTTTTGTTGTGCATAACTAATTGTTCTATTTAATAAAAAAAATGCCGGGAAGAACGCTAACAGGAGAAATGCGACAATGTGTAGTTCATTTATTGGAGTATTTTAAAAAAGAAAAAGAAAACAACGGACCTTTGCTTGCGTTATCATCGGTACATGAACGAGTAGCGGACGCTTTGAAAATCAGTCTTCGCACAGTGACAAGAATAAAGAGTGAATACAAGACAGGGGCAGCTCTTACTACACCAGGAGAGTCACGTAAAGTACAAAAAAAAAGACTAATGATGTCAGCGATACTATAAAAGGAGAGATTAGAAATGTACTGTATGGCATGAAAGCAAAAGGAGAGCACGTTATAATTTAAGTTCTAAATACACAATTAAGAAACAAGCATCTCTATGACGGTTCTGATACAAGTTTGTGGCGTCTTATGAAAAATTGTGGGTTTTCATACAAACTAGAAAATAGTAGACGAGTGCTATGTGAGAAATTTAGATGTAACATGGATATTCCTAAAAGGGGCATATAAACGTACTTGGCAAGATGACTGTGTGAAAGCATCAGAAAAGGACACGAAAATACAGGTAAACGCTTTGTTGTTTTACATTCCGGAAGTAGGCAAGGATTTGTTAAAGATGCTGGATTTCTGTTTTCTACGAAATCGAACAGTGCGGACTATCATGATTCTATGGATAAAGAGTCTTTTAAAAAGTGGGTCTCCGAAAAGCTGATACCAATGTTGGAGGAACCATCTCGAATTATTATGGATAATGCCTCATACCATAGCTCTTTAATAGAAAAGTTACCGAATGCCAGTTGGAAAAAATCGGACTTACAAGAATGGTTACGAGCGAAAAAAATAATTTTTTGCGACGATTCGAGCAAGACTGAGCTATTGAGTCTTTGTCGCCAGAATAAACCACAAAATACCAGGTACGTTATAAACGAGCTACTCCAAGAACATGGGCATCAGGTTTTGAGATTGTCTCCATATCACTGTCAATATAATCCGATTGAGTTGGTCTGGGGCATTTCTAAACAATACTATGATCGTCATATTGGAGAACATGGACCTGCAGTGTGGGCGAGTTGTGTTAAACATACTGAAAAATTAATTCAGGACGACTGGGCAAAAATGGTCACATATGATGAAAATGAAAGTATAATTATCATCGATTTGGCGGAAGATTTCAATGATGAAGACAGTTCCAGTGAAGACGCTGACTGATTAGCTAATTAATTAAGGTCAGTACGTTGTAACAGTTCAGAATTCCTACAGTGCTTAAAACTTAAAAAATCTGTATAATTTTTTAATTAAAGTGGGTTAAATAATTAACACTTTTTTGGATATATTTCAAAATCATTTTGAAATGTACTTTTCGTTATATCCTGTCCTATTGTACTGCACGCTAGAAAAATACTTCGCAATTTATACGTATCTTCCGTTATTAGAAATTTAATGAAAAATAATTTGTAATTTTCTTTTATTACTCGTTTGACATGTTACATTTTGCTCCGCCACTGGAGGAGGTAAACGAATCGAGCTTAGACAAGAAAAGATAGATGAAACAAGTTATTGCAAGTGTTTTTACACGCACACGCCAAGAATGATGAAAACGATTATATAAAATTTTACAAATCTTCATTTTGAAGCTTTTCGCATGTTCTAAAAGATGGTTATGCCAATGCACCTTCAAAACCATGTTTTTCAATGATAAAATAAAAACGCCAAAAAGTACATTTTTTACACTAATTTGTTTATAAATAAAAATTATCAATAAATCTCACGCAGGAATTGCTTAGAATATGTTTGTATAAGGGTTATACATCAAAAAACCTTTCAGTACCTTGGCTTTTTGAGTGTCACGAACACAATATATGTTTACCTTATTACCTTAGAGTACTACTAAACATACTCACAGTTGATAGCGGTACAATCGGTCCCATTAAGCTTATATCCAGGCACGCAGGAACACAAGTACGATCCTATTGTGTTGGTACACGATTGCGAACAGGAATCATCAAGCTCACATTCATCTGCATCGACACATTTGTTATCCAAAGGTTTCTTTCCAAGAGGACAGTAGCACTGAGGGCCTTTCGGAGTGGGCTTGCAACCGAAAGAACACTGTAATCTAAAAGCAAAGAATCGAATGATATGTGGATTTTAAAAACTTTATTTAAAATTAAAAATAGTTTTTTATGGGCGCATGCATTTGCCATTCGGTCAATTAAAACTCATTAATGCTTACAAAAGAAGACAAAAATGTAACTATAGTAAAAAGTCTAATTTCATCTCTTCAATAATTTGTTCCTCTTTACGGTTTATAGTTGTGACATTCCATATCTCTACACAAGAAGGAATACGAAGCGAAATACGAAGGCAATCTGATCATGAAGCAGACTCTACCAGGTTTAACAATCTCAACAAACTCTCCTCAAAAACCTCATGTTTAGGTAGGATTTTTTCCGCTCAGAACTTTCGTAAATTCCAAAATTTGTGCTGGACTTCTGGGTGGCACTTTTCTTCTGTGGACGTGGACCATAATTTCAGTGATTTTTTAGATAGGCTTGGCTGTATTTTCAATAAGGCATTTCCTAATTACAATTAAGTCAGAACATCACAAATTTACTACCAAAGTCTTTGTCACTGAATATATCACTAAATACAAAGAAACCTATCTAAAACTTAATAAAACAGCTAAAAAAATGTACTACATGAGGTCTATCAAGAACCGAACAATAATTTTTACACTGCCACTGTTTTTTGTGACTATGACAAAGTTTTTGATTATGTAAATCACGATATTTTGATAAAAAAACTAAATTTCTGCGGAATTCGAGGAATTTCTTTGAATTGGCTCCAATCTTACTTAAAGAATAGGAAACAACTAGTTAGAGGGAATGATACTGACTCTAGTCACAAAAGCATTGTATGTAAAGTACCACAAGATTCAGGATGGAGTCCTCTACTTTTTCTTATTTTTATAAATGACATCACTAACTTAAAAACCAATGGAAAATTTTTCTTTTCGTTGATGATACCAGTATCAGCTGGAGGAACTTAAAACTACCTGAGGAACTGATCTACTTAAAATGAAAACCTGGTCCGACTCTAATTTACTCTCGTTTAACGTGGATAAGACAGAAGCATTATCCTATCAAGGAGCTCTTCAACCCTTGCTCCTTAATAACAGCCAGCTCAGTATAGTTGATTCTGTAAAATTTCTTGGTATTTTTATAGACAGCAACTTTAAATGGTCCCTTCGTATCGGTTTGTTAAGTAAGAAACTAGCCTCAGCCTGCTATGCAATAAGATCTGTTTCGAAGGAAATCAATTTAGCATCTTCCAAAATAAGATTTCTTTGTTCGAGTCTCTACTACGATATGGTCTTCCTTTTTGAGGTTCTAGTACAGCTGCCCAAGGTGATGTTATTTTTATATTACAAAAAATCGCGGGATTTTAACGCTTCCATGTTTATATATTTTAGAAACTGTTTGCTTAATTCGTAAACACCTACATGTTTTTTCAGCAAGACCTAATCATGACTACTCCACCAGAAATTCAACCTTTGATGTATATGTTACGAGCAAAGCCCGAAATTGGACAATCCTAGCATTGTACGGAAATTATTGTCCACTTCTAGCATTGTACCCCCAAACTGTAAAATGTCCGAAATGACCAAAATTAAAAATGATTATCGAAACGCACACCAAATCAAAAATCGAACAATATAGAGTTGTTCTTTTTCAAATCGACAATGTGATAAAATGCTAAGTCAAACTAAAATATGAATAATAAGAAAAAAATTGTTCTACAATAAATAGAGTGATAATGTTAGTAAAAATCGATATGAATCGATATCTGTCATATTCTCTCAAACTTTGATGCATGGATACTTCTTGAAATTCAAACATTGTACAGCAATTCTTTTATATATAGTCCGCCGATTATGTCTATTTCGGAGATTGTACAGAAAAGGGGTACAATGCTAGAAGTGGACAAGATTTTTCGTACAATGCTAGGATTGTTCAATTTCGGACATTGCTCGTAACATATACATATTTACCGATCCCATTCACTGAGCTAGTAAAGAAATCTAAATTATATTCGGCAAACAAATTATACAACCATCTCCCTTTACAACTTAAATCTGCAACACCTTTACTTAAGTTTCGTAAAATGACAAAAACTGAAATACCATATTATTCAGTAGAAGAGTTTCTTAACGAATAAATAAGAAATTTCAGTATCTTTATGTGTTAAAGAAAACTACTACAACAAATAATAACGTATTTTCAGAACCCTTAACGAACCTTTTTATGTACCGGGTGGTCCAATAAGCCGATCTCTCGGCTATATATCAGAAACTATTCATGGTATAACTTTAGGAGAAAAAATTTCTTAGTAAAAGTGGTCAAGAGAAATCGCTGGAAATAAGTTTCTGGGTTAACCGCTAGGGGGCGTAACCTTTGAATAAAAATTTGAAAACCCGTTTTTTGTGAAATATGCCCAATTATACCAAGCGTTAAATAAGTAAACTAGAAAGAGGCCTAAATTCCGCACAAAGTTGTTCAAGTACTTTTTTTATTTTTTCAAATAAAGGGTGGGGGAGAGTGGGAAAGTATTTGTGGATAAATACCTATAACTTTGATTTGGATCAACCGATTTTAACGAAATTAGTGTCATTAGAAAGAGTATGGATGATGTAATTTATACCTACTATAAAACAATTGAATTTAGTTTTAATTGTCATGGGTAGAGGGTACTTTTGAATAGAAAAAATTAAAATTTATTTTTCTTCAAAATGTTTAATGGAAACACCTATTTATTGTAAATTACAATAGAACTTGATTAAAGTCGTAAAAGAACGGCGCAAACCGTATGTTGATAACTTTTGTAGAACTCGAGATATGAATAAAAACGCATAAACATAATTAAGTATAGTATTGACTCACCCTTTATTATAACTGAAAATTAAATATGTGAAAGATCATACAAACATCTCGATCATTAAAACTTAATGTCCAATTAAATGTTCAAATTGTTTTTCATCATTGTACACACAAAGATGTAATCTTTCGCGCGTAGACATAACAGCTGCTTCAATCTCAGCTGTTGATATACTATTTATTTATTGTGTTTATAATGCGCTGTTTCATCTCGACTCGCGTGGTTGGTCAAGTTTGGTACACTAAGTCCTTCAATCTTCCCCACAGATAAAAGTTCAGATATGTTAAGTCTGGAGATTCCCCTTCCAATCCATTTATTTGGATAACTTGCATACAAATAATCTCGAACTCATCTGGAAAAGTGCGCAGGACACCCGTCATGTTGTAATATTATATCTCTTCTTGTTTGTAAGGAAATATCTTCCAATAAAACAGGCAACTGATTTTCCAGAAAAGCCAAATATTTTTCGTCATTTAAAGTTATATCAAAGAAATATGGACCTACGATCTTTCCATCAACTATACCACACCAAACATTAAGACTCCATCTACATTGAACCTGCACCTCATGTATCCAATGCAGATTTTCTTTAGCCCAATAATGCATATTATGCAGATTAACATCACCCGCAGTATTAAACATAGCCTTGTCCGTTCACAAAATCTTTGACATGATACGCAATTGTTCTTCTAGCAGACCTAACATCCAATTGTAGTATTCCAGCCTTGCATCAAAATCTCTCTTATGTAAAGCTTGGTGGAGAACTACATGATAAGGATGCAGTCTAAAAAAACAGAACAACAAATATTGGTGAAAAAGAAACCACTATATTTACTAAAACTCAAAAAATTGAAAAATCTATAATTGTTTACGTTCACGTGTAAACGTTCACTTTATAATATGAAAAACCATCTGTGATGTTTTAAAATCCTTAAAACAGTATTTTTGGGTATGTTTAATTCTATAGAGATTTGCCGACTACTTATGTGTGGATTATGTTGAATTAAAGCAAGAACATTGATTGAATTATCTTCGGTCATACCTCTACTACATCGTTTAAAACAAGGACGATAAAAACTACTAGTTTCTCTTAATCTTCTTACCTTTCTTTCAAATACTTCTTTGCCATAATGTCTCCTATCAGGATATCTTACAGAATATATACGTGAGGCAATAGCGGATTTTTGGTGACATTCGAAATAAACTCCAACCATATCATACAATTCTGCATTTGATATACTCATCACGGATTATTGGTACTCATAATTAATTACTAATATTACCAATATTAATATCTATTGAAAAAAGTGCAATCTTCAATTCGGATTATAACATAACACTTTCGAAAAAACTATTTTTAATCATATAAAATAACAATGGTCAAAATAGGTATCAACATTAAGATTCTTTTGCTATAAAAAAATTTGAAAGTACCTACTGACTTATTTTTTAATTTAATTTATAATACAGGGTGAGTCAATACTATACGTACTTATGTTTATGCGTTTTTATTCATATCTCGAGTTCGACAAAAGCTACTAACATGCGGTTTGCGCCATTTTGTTACGAATTTAATCCAGTTCCATTATAGTTTACAATAAATAGGTGTTTCCATTAAACATTTTGAAGAACAACGAATTTAAATTTTTTCTATTCGAAAATACGCTCTACCTATGACAATTAAAACTAAATGCAATTATTTTATAGTAGATGTAAATTAATTCATGACACTTTCTTTCATGATTCTTTCTAATGACACTAATTTCGTTAAAATCGGTTGATCCAAACCAAAGTTATAGGTATTTATCCACAAATACTTTCCCACTCTCCCCCACCCTTTATTTGAAAAAATAAAAAAAAAGTACTTGAACAATTTTGTGAAGAATTAAGGCCTATTTCTAGTTTACTTATTTAACACTTGGTATAATTGGGCATATTTCTAAAAAAACTGGTTTTCAAAGTTTTAATCACAGGTTACGCCCCCTAGCGGTTAACCCAGAAACTTGAAAGTTATTTCCAGCGATTTCTCTTGGCCACTTTTACTAAGAAATTTTTTCTCCTAAAGTTATAACATGAATAGTTTCTGATATATAGCCGAGAGATCGGCTTATTGGACCAACCGGTACATAGATGTAGATCATATTTTGAACATAATTCGAATACAAATTAATAAACGAACCTATTTTTTCTATATAATTTATTTAGGAGATTACGGAATTTACCTGTTGCAAGCCTCTGTATAGTTTTGGCAGAAATCCCACTCGTCGCTATTTCCGGAACAGTCGCCATGTCCATCACAGAACTTTATGATCGGTATACAATCTGTTCCTTCCCCACATAGAGCTTCGTTCCATTTACATTTCGCTTCTTTAGTGCAACGTTTCGGATCTTCGTCGGATATATCTGGACCAAGTTCAGGTGATACTCCACAGTCTTTTTCTTCGTCGCATACCCAACCTATAATATAAGAGAAACGCAAACATAACTAATAACAAGAAATAAGTAAAAGCCCAAACTTGATAAAAAACGGGATTGACTACATATTAGTCAACAAATGCCTTGCAAACTGCATTAAAAGGCAGTACGTGTACGTACCTGTAGGTAAACACTTTTTGGTTAAAGTACATTGAAATTGATCCGATCGGCAATTGTGGTTCTTCTGGCAGTCCTCCGGTTCATCACTGCCATCGTCGCAATCTCGGCTGGAGTCACAGTGCCAACTTATCGGTATGCATTTGCCATCTTTGCATTTGAATTGGTTGCTCGCGCAAGAAGGTTCTGGAAAAAAATACATTATTGGTAAAACTTATTATTGTTATTTATTAAATATATATATATATTGTTACGTAAAAATCAGTCATACTAAAAAAAACCTGTAAACATGTTGTTTATTCACTATGTTGTAGATTCTACGAGACCCTTCGATCAGCTGGCAGAAATCTACCTGAAACGGTCGCTCCGTTACGATTCGAAGTTTCCAGAAACCGGTCGAATGATGACCCAGCCTAGTATAATCAGAGGGACTCGCCTGAACTTTCGAATAGCTATATTTTCATATATATTAACGGAGCTTTTATTGTGGCCAGCAGTTAGAAAAGAAAATCACGAACGGGTAGTTAAATGTAACTGTCGTAATAATAAATTATTGTAAGATCAATTATTATAAATAAACTTTAAGTAAATTAAGTTTGTATTATAAATATTGAACCTTTAGTAAATTAAATTAAGAACAATAAATTAGAATTAATAAAAACATTATATATATATATATATATATATATATATATATATTATATATAATATATATATATATATATATATATATAGTTTGAATTTGTATCAGCCCAAGTGTCTCATGAGGCTGGGATAGGCCGAAATAATCATAACACTTTATTGATACCGATTCGAGCACGGGAAGAACGAATTTGTCCTCCTAGGCCATATATTTGGCCATTTAATTCGATAAAGCGATAGCGGCTTTCGTTAAAAGATTTATTCTTTTACATATTTCGCATAGTGCAGAGGATACAGAAAACGATATTATCATATCGTCGAATATTCGTTCACGGCCGCCAAAGCAGGTGGCGCCTTTGTAAGCTAACTACGTTGTAGTGAAGTTTTGGGAGACATTCGTTGGATTTTCCGAGTTTGAATTTGTATCAGCCCAAGTGTCTGATGAGGCTGGGATAGGCCGAAATAATCATAACACTTTATTGATACCGATTCGAGCACGAAAAATTTAACGAATTTGTCCTCCTAGGCCACATATTTGGCGATTTAATTCAATAAAGCGATAGCGGCTTTCTCTAAAAGATTTAATCTTTTACACATTTCGCATAGCACAGAAGATACAGAAAACGATATTATCATATCGTTTCGTTCACGGCCGCCAAAGCAGATGGCGCCTTTGTAACTTAACTACGTTGTAGTGAAGTTTTGGGAGACATTCGTTGGACTTTCCGAGTTTGAATTTGTATCAGCCCAAGTATCTGATGAGACTGGGATAGGCCGAAATGATCATAACACTTTATTGATACCGATCCGAGCACGGGAAGTTTAACGAATTTGTCTTCCTAGGCCATATATTTGGCCATTTAATTCAATAAAGCGATAGCGGCTTTCGCTAAAAGATTTAATATTTTACATCAGTCAGTAGTCAGTCTAACAGTGACTCCTTGAGCACAAATAATAATGAAATAGGAGGTGTTGGATTTATGATACATACACATTGAGAATATCTAATAACTTAAAAGGTATTAACCTAAGAAAAATGCTGTGCAAATTGAAACTTAACAATTAAACTAGCATTAAAATTTTTGCCTATGTCCATTCACGCACTCGGAGGAGGAAACGAAAACATTTTATAGACCTATATATCCAGTCGTCAGAGATGAAAATGCTACAAACCTCTAAAAATCATACGAGCAAGCTGAATTTTGCTGAGAATGTCAATTTTAGGAATCCAAAAAAGATGCAAAAAGTTTACGACTTTTACCCTCGGGCTTTCCACTAAAATTCACCTCGTAGAGGGGGAAAACGGAAAAAAATTTTTTTCGGAAAAAGTCAGATGTAGGATTTTGATTGTCGGGTGGAGCGGACGATCTATTTTCATAAGAGGTCTTCATATCGAAGGTAACCGTATGCCGTCATCTCGTTTATTGGGACTATGTATGTGTGTAAATGCATTTCTTCAGAAGTTAAATGTTGCCCCTGTTGCAAATGTAACAAAATAAAACATTTACAATGCAACTAATGATGATGATGAAGAAGAAAACGATGATTTATAGTTTTATTATTAAACAAAATCGTTAGTTCGTTAAAAATTTATGAAATCTAATTTTTCAAAATGTATTTTAAAGCTTATAATCATAGCTTTAAAATGAGCCGCTTTAAATCTTTTTTCTTCTTCTTCTTCCTTCTTGTATGTAGGCAACCTCCTAAATTGTTTAAATTATCGCACCATCTTTTTCTTGGTCTGCCAATACTTCTTCGTCCATCTGGTGACTTATCTTATGCTATTATATTCGTAATATCTCTTTTACGCAGGATCTTCCGGATCTGAATCATTGTTGTTCATATGATAAAGTTGTTAGTTTATTGATTTTGTTGGTTAGGACTTTTGTGGTAAATTAAGTGCGGTGTTCAGTAAATTTATACCTCTATAATTGTTGGGGTCGTCTTTATCTACTTTCTTGAACATTGGTATCATTATGCTGTTTCTCCATGCGTCTGATATCTTGCAGTGGAATAAGTTTTTGTATAAGTTTTGTCATCTCTAGAGTTATACTTTCTCCTCCGTATTTTAGAAGCTCATTGGTTATTCTGTCTGGTCCTGGTGACTTTCTATTTTTGAGTGAATTTATGGCTACCCCTACTTCCTGAAAACTTATTTCTATTCTATTCTATTTCGTGTATTCAGGTACGTTTTTGTGTTGATTATTATTTTCCTTTCCTTTAAACAGTACCGTCAGGTATCTTTCCCATTCGTTTGGTGGTATGTTATTGTATTCCTTCAATTCTGCCATTTCTTTCCGTTGGTTTGCTTACGAATCTCCATATTTGTTTTTGCGTCTGCTAAGTTTAAAATTCGGATATCTACAATCTGCTCTGGATGGATTTTTCTATTAATGAATATAAAATCAATCATAGTTTTATGCCCCCTGGAGTTTTCAAATGTATATTTATACTGAAGCGTATGGTCGACAAATGTATTATTGATTCTTAGTTCGTTAAAAGCACAGAGATTAGCCATAAGTTCTCCATTTGTGTTGATATGGTTTCATTAAATCTTTGTTTTATTCCTGGCACTATTTTATTTCCGATTCGTGCATTAAAGTCACCCACAAGAATTAAGCGTTCTTCATGAGGTATTTCATCCAGGATGGTTTGTAATTGTTCGTAAAATGCCTCTAATTCCTCCTTAGGTTTGCAGTCCTCGGGGCTATAGCTAGATCTTCTTCTTCGTCATGTGCCTTGTCCGTTCCGAACGTTGGCAATCAACATGGCTATTCTGACTTTGTTTACGGCAGATCTGAATAGTTCAGCAGATGACAATCCGAACCATTGCCGCAAGTTTTGGAGCCACGAGTGTCTTCTCCTCCCTGGACCCCTTCTGCTGTCTATTTTCCCTTGAACGATCAGCTGTAGTACTCTATATTTATTATGTCTCATAACGTGACCCAAGTATTCTAACTTTCTTTTCTTTATACTTATTCCTACCTCTATCTCTTTACCTATCCGGCGTAGTACCTCTTCGTTGGTCACGTGCTCAGTCCAGGATATACGTAATATACGTCGGTAAGCCCACATTTCGAAGGCCTCTACTTTTTTCATCAATGTTGCGGTCATTGTCCACGCCTCCATTCCATATAACAGAACCGGGAATACATAACATTTCAGAAGTCGAATTTTGAGAGGTAGGGTGAGGCTTTTAGAGGTGAAAATTTGCTTCATGCTAGTGAACGATGCTCTTGCCTTTTCTACTTTTATACGTATTTCCTTCGCTTGATCCCAATTTGTGTTAACTGTTGTTCCCAAGTAGATGTAGGAATCCAGGTGTTCTATTCTTTCATTGTCTAAAATATCAGTTGCTGTGGTGGTTGTTGGGTTTTGCTTACTAACATCCATTTGGTTTTTGTGATATTTAGTCTAAGTCCGTATTGTGTACTTGTTTTTTGTATCTTACTCATTAGGCAACTCAGTTCCTCCATGCTACTTGCTAGAATCACAGTGTCATCAGCATACCTTATGTTATTAATTATTTCTTCATTTATCTTCTATAAGTCATATCTACAGCTAGATATGACATTTAATTTTTGATAGTTCATTGTGATGTTCATATGTATTATTCTTTCGAAGGTATAACGGCAGTTATTTATGTTGTCTTTACATTACTTCACTCCACTGTATTCTAAAGAATATTGGTTATAGTCTCTTTGGCTTTTCCCTTTCTTCTTGGTTTCTTGTATTGCACCAATATCTACGTTTTCATTTATCAGTTCTTCTATTATCTCTTGGTCTCTGTTGTTGAAAGAAGTAATGTTCCATGTTGCTAATCTGATTGTGGGCTTATTTTTCGTTCTCGTTTTTCTTTTCTTTGCGTGGTTCGTCATCTGGTTCCGAGACTTTAAATCGGTTCTTTGAGCCTTGTTTTCTTTTACAATGGTTAGGATGCTAACCTGGCCCATCAACCCTTAAATCTTTTTACGATGAGCAAAAGAGAAGTTATAAGCAAATGTGTCTGATATAGTCAATAAGTTGTTATTTTTTAATAATAAATTTGCAATATCTCAGCTTCTAATGGACCAATTTTAATTTACCAAAGTTTGTTTTGTTTTTTTAAGAAACAAACCATAATTTGAAAAAAAGGTATATCTTTAATGGTTTATTCGTCATAAGCATTAAAACAATTAAATTGTTAATAACAAATTCCTGCCAAAAAATCGGATTATCGTGTTGAAGATTCGGATTCAGCTGCTCAAAACACATAAAAATCATTTGTAAAATCTCATGGACCTCAATCAACCACGAAACCTCCCTTTGTTCCTAGACTATCATTTTACTAGTTGAATTCACTACTTGACAGACCGTACGCTTGTTTTTACTTATTACTAACCTTCTCTTAGCTAATTGGTAGCTCGATAATAACACCAGCTCTTGCCTACAAGGTCGAGTTAAAGGAGTAAAAGAAACCTTTAATCACGGCTTGTTTCTATCCTTTATAGAACCAATAAAAAGTTTTAGAATCGATCCGGTTTCCGTTTTCAATAGCGTACCGA